TTATTGTTATCTCTTTCTTTTCAGTAAGAGCAGAACGTGTGTGTCAGACTCCCAGAGCTATGTTTAGCTTCTTCACTAAATGGCTGGTAGGCTTTTAAATCACATCATTATCTCGACAGCACCTGAGCTTCATTCAGTGTGCAGACACACACCAACAAAGTCAAAGTTGTATAGTCAGCAGAGCTATTATGTCTGACTTGTTTGTCTGATGCAATTTAATATTTAATATCATACCTGAACAAAAGATTACCCTACTTACGTTCTCAAATCAACACATCACTTGCAATACTGCATGGATTGAAGACGTATAAAATCTGGGGGATTTCTTGATCTGTTGTTTATGCATTCTTTCAGCGCAGCTGTGCGTGGCAAACAATTTAGAAACAGTGAGGTGCAAAACTGCTGAGAAGTACACAAACACAACTTTTTCCTCTTATAGTTTGCACAGACATCGCAGAAAGACTCTAATAAAGTTTTCGAGTGACCCCTAAGTAGATCTTTAGCGGTAAAACCTAGTGTCCATTCAGTTGAAACCTATTGGAACAGACACCTAGCTCTAGGCTGCGAGCACTCTGTCAAAATGGGTCTCAGACGGTAACCACAGAATATTTCATTAATTAATGAGTGTTATGTGGTGCTATTAAAGCACTCACTCGCCCCATTTGGCCCAAAGCACAGCCTTTTAACACATTAACTCACCACAGATCTCAATCTGATGCATGAGAAAGAGGACGAGAGAAAAACAGAGACGAGCTAAAAACTCATCACATGCAGTCTGCAAGGAGTCATATACAGGGCACAAAATCCCATCGCATACTGTAACCTCTTATACTTTATGGTCCTTGTCAAAATTTGCAATACATTTTATTCAATGTTGTTCAACTCTAATGGCACTAATGCAGGTCTACAACACAACGGGAGTGTTAATATGAGAACATACATTAGCGGGCCAAGGGAATATGGGCACCCAGTTACCACTAATGGGTGCTAAACTAATAATTGCTTAGGTAATGTAAGCTTTTACATGGGTCTTTACACACACACACACACACACACGCACGCACACACACACACACACACGCACACACACTCTTTCTCTCTCTGTACACTTGCTTTGCAATTTTTTTTGTAGATATAAGTTGTTTGTTATAAATGTGTGCACTGGCAATTAAATTAAGTTTGAATTAAATAGGTGGGGATTATACTAATATATTTCTATCCGACAGATTTTCCACAATTACTGAGAACTCATAACTATCACCTTTAATGTGACAGCCAGAAACAGATGGGTGTGTTTAATAACAAAGAAATGAACAGTGTATGAAGTGCAGAACCCAGGGTGAGTTCAAAATGAACAAGCTACAAATGCAGTGAAGATTCTTTACTCATCAACTACTAGTATCATACATGCAGCAATATTCTCACAGTTGAAGTGCTTATAACATTTGAAAGTCACACAAGATATCTGTGATGCATTCTGTCTGCTAGATCTGACAGGGCTTGGAGGCCTTTGGATGTTTCTGGTACTGTGTTCACTTCCCCATTCTCGCTCTCTTTTCTCTACCCCCCCCTTTTTCCTGAGGGAAGTTGCAACTTCAAAAGATGCACAATAAAGAAAGATATGTCTCAACACCCAAATATTTACCACAGATGTTGTAATACACTCATCTTCCCAAGAACATACTAAAATCATTATATAATTAGTTAATATCTATCTATCCATCCATCCATCCATTTATCTATCTGTCTATTTATCATCTGTCTGCCTATCTACAATAGGGAAAATATTTATTTGATTTATACCACTTACGAAAAAATGAAGGGTCTGTAATTTTTATGGTAGGTTTATTTTAACATATAGAGACAGAATATCAACCAAAAAATCCAGAACCCCCCCACACACACATTATATAAAGGTTAGAAATTGATTTGCATTTCAGTGAGTGAAATAAGTATTTGATCCCCAAGCAAAACATGACTTAGTACTTGGTGCAGAAACCCTTGTTGGCAAGCATAGAGTTTTTTTGTAGTTGGTCAGCAGGTTTGCACACATCTCAGGAGGGATTTTAGTCCACTCCTCTTTACAGATTCTCTCGAAATCCTTAAGGTTTCTTATCCATCCATCCATCCATTTATCTATCTGTCTATTTATCATCTGTCTGCCTATCTACAATAGGGAAAATATTTATTTGATTTATACCACTTACGAAAAAAATGAAGGGTCTGTAATTTTCATGGTAGGTTTATTTTAACATATAGAGACAGAATATCAACCAAAAAATCCAGAACCCCCCCACACACACATTATATAAAGGTTAGAAATTGATTTGCATTTCAGTGAGTGAAATAAGTATTTGATCCCCAAGCAAAACATGACTTAGTACTTGGTGCAGAAACCCTTGTTGGCAAGCATAGAGTTTTTTTGTAGTTGGTCAGCAGGTTTGCACACATCTCAGGAGGGATTTTAGTCCACTCCTCTTTACAGATTCTCTCGAAATCCTTAAGGTTTCTTGGCTGTTGTTTGGCAACTCGAAGTTTCAGCCCCCTCCACAGATTTTCTATAGGATTGAGGTCTGGAGACTGGCTTGGCCACTCCATGACCTTAACGTGCTTCTTCTTGAGCCACTCCTTTGTTGCCTTGGTGGTATGTTTTGGGTCATTATCATGCATTTCTCTCCCTCCAAACACGGTGAGTCGAGTTAATGCCAAAGAGCTCAATTTTGGTCTCATCTGACCACAGCACTTTCTCCCAAGCCTCCTCTGAATCAATTAGATGTTCTTTGGCAAACTTTAAATGGGCCTGTACATGTGCCTTCTTGAGCAGGGGGACCTTGTGGGCGTTGCAGGATTTCAGTCCATTGCGGCGTAATGTGTTACCAATGGTTTGCTTGGTGACTGTGGTCCCAACTGCCTTAAGATCATTAACAAGCTCCTCCCGTGTAGTTCGGGGCTGATCCCTCACCTTTCTCATGATCATCCTTACCCCATGAGGCAAGATCTTGCACAGAGCTCCAGACCGAGGCCGGTTGATGGTTGTTTTGTATTTCTTCCATTTCCGAATAATCGCACCAACAGTTGTC